TTCCTGATCCACAGCGTAACAGTTACTTACACGCTTTGGTCGCCAAACATATGATGCACGGCCCTTGTGGAGAAATGAACCCCGAAAATCCATGCATGACAACCAAAGAGGGTGCACTTCAGTGCAAAAGTAAATACCCAAGAGAATATTCTGATTCTACAAAAATGGGAGATAACGCATACCCTATCTACAGACGCCGTATGAACTCCATAGTTGTCAGTGCACGTAAACACAAATTAGACAATAGGTGGGTTGTACCCTACAGTCCATATCTATTAGCTAAATTTGATTGTCATATCAACGTGGAAGTTTGTGCGGGGATAAAGAGTGTGAAATATATATACAAATATATATACAAAGGCCATGATAGAATTGCTATTAACCTCTCCGCCGAAAATGACGCCAAAGTGGTTGATGAAATTGAGGAGTATCAAAAGGCACGTTGGGTATCACCCCCCGAGGCAGCATGGAGAATCTACAGCTTTCCTCTCTCGGAAATTAAACCGTCTGTTATACACTTGCCGGTGCACTTAGAAAATTATCAGTACATGAGATTTGACAAACGGCAAGATATAACGGAAATTGTAGAATATGAGCAGAACTCTCAAACGATGCTGACTCAATTCTTTTCCATGAATCGCATCGATGAAACAGCCGCCAGGTTGAACCTCCTATACATCCACTTTCCCGAGTATTACGTATGGTCAACCAAAGATAAAAAGTGGCACCCAAGACAAAAACGGGAGGTTATAGGACGACTTGTGAGTGTGAATCCAACCGAAGGGGAGAGGTACTATTTGAGAATTTTGTTGATGAATGTGAAATCACCGCAGTCATATGAGCATATAAAAACAATTGGTCAATACACTGCTGCCACGTTTAGAGAAGCCGCCGAGAAACTTGGGTTGTTACAATGTAACCAAGACATCGAACACTGTCTTGAAGAGGCCACGTGTTGGCAAATGCCATCCACTTTTCGCAGGCTGTTTGCGACAGTCTTGTCTTTTTGTGATGTTGCTAACCCAAAGGCGCTGTGGCTTCAGTTCAAGGCACACCTTTGTGAAGACCTGATCAGAACTTGTCCAGATATATCTCAGGCGGAACACAAATGCCTACTGTATTTAAATGACCTTCTCTTGTGCCTAGGGAAAAATATCAATGACCTTGCAATTGTTTCATATCATGTTGGCATTACAAAAGAGCAACGAGTTCAAAAAGAAATCCAGGCAGAGAGAAGTCTGTTGCCAACGGATTCTGATATTGCCGCGATTGCAAAAATGAACACCGGCCAGAAGTCCGCATTCGACACTATAATCAAGCGTGTTTACTCTGACAAAGGCGGGACATTTTTTGTCGATGGCCCGGGGGGCACCGGCAAGACTTTCCTGTATAGGTGTCTTTTAGCAAAGGTCCGGTCGAATCATGATATTGCCCTTGCCACAGCAACTTCAGGAGTTGCTGCATCTCTATTGCCGGGTGGCCGAACAGCACATTCACGGTTCAAAATCCCAATTAATGTGGAAGACAAATTTGTTTGCAACATAGGAAAGCAAAGCGCAGAAGCATCATTAATACGTGATTGCAAACTAATTTTATGGGATGAGGCTACGATGGCAAATCGGAGAACTGTAGAGAATGTGGAGACGACTTTGCGGGATATCACAAATTGTGAAAAACTCTTTGGGGACAAGGTCGTGGTTTTTGGCGGGGATTTCCGGCAAACATTGCCTGTGATTAGATCCGGCAGAAAGAAAGATTTCATTGAAGCGAGCTTGGTCAATTCTCATATCATATGGCCCTTCACTGAAAGGTTAGTCTTAACCGAAAACATGAGAGCGATATCTGATCCGGGCTTCAGTGATTACTTAATGAGAGTAGGCAATGGAATTGAAACATATGTTTCCGACTCAACAATTGCTATTCCACGTCATTTTCTCATTCCTTACACCAGCGATGACGAGTCCTTGAATGCACTAATACACCATGTGTATCCTGATATGTCAAAGTTTTGTGACGACCCGTACCCATTGATGCGCCGGGGTATCCTTACCCCAAAAAATGAGTATGTCGAGAACTTGAATGGCATATTAATCCATCGATTGCCTGGGGAAGAGCGGTGCTACGTTAGCTACGATGAGTTGCTCGATTCAAGCACATACAATGAATACGGTGATTTCCTAAACACAATTTGCCTACCCGGTTTACCCCCCCACAAATTGGTACTGAAGAAAAACTGTCCGGTGATTTTGCTTAGGAATCTAAACCCGGCCGAGGGCCTATGCAACGGCACGCGTTTGATATGCCACGAATTTCGTGACCATGTGATTAGTTGTTCCATAGCATCCGGTGAGCATGTGGGAAAACATGTGTTCCTGCCAAAAATACCTCTCCAACCATCAAGCGATGACAACTGCCCCATACCATTTAAGCGTTATCAATTTCCTATCAAACTATGCTTTGCCATGACGATAAATAAGTCTCAAGGGCAAACATTTGACTACGTCGGCGTATACCTAAGGGAACCGGTTTTCTCGCACGGGCAACTGTACGTTGCAATGTCAAGAGCGCAACGAGCAGAATGTTTAAAAATACTTATCTGCAACAAAGATCGCCCATGCGAACCAAATTGGACACACAATATAGTGTATCAAGAAATATTAAATAACGCTAGCCAATGTACAGTGAACAAAGGTGAACCATTCAAATTACAATCACACTTTCCCCATATTCATTTATATCTATATATATACACACATATCTTTACGTTAACCAAATACGTATTCTATTTTCAGGACCTGTTCAATGGCAACAATGCACCGATTAGTTGATGTGACGCCTGAAACACCCATGTGGACATGTGAGGTTCGTGTCGCTCATAAGTCTGCACCTAAGCATAACACAACAACTGGGAAGAAACACCTACATATGTTCCTTGAGGATAAGGAAGTAAGTCATATCTTATAAAGTGCTTAATTGCTTATGATTGTAAATAAACCAAATGTAAATGCTTCTTCCTCGCTGCACTGCCACGTACTTTACAAAATTTTCATGAAAAATTACTCCACATTTACTTTTTATGAAATATGATTACTTGATTAGTAGTTGCAATAAACAAACTTCACAAGATTCTTGGCAGTAGGAAAGAAAACAGACGAGAAATAATAACATAATAAAAATAAACCAAAGAAACATTTTATTTATTTGTGTTTGCTTCCTCCTCTTGTTTGTATCTAAAAAGGGAACTAAATAGCCTCTTTTGTCTGGATTTTCGTCACTAGACGTAATTTGTCTGCTCTATGAAATGGTTCTCCAGTTGGGAAATGAGATGAAATTTCAAACTTCTTATTTGGTATACCTTATTTGTGATATTCAAAAGTAAATTGTTTCTCCAAGATCAAATTTGTTTATGCATGTAAAGGGTTATATTGAAAAAAAAAACTAAACAATAGGTAAAACTTATAAAAATTCGTATAAATTTGAAAAGCATAGATATAACAATATAAAGGTACTAAAAATGCCAAAGTAGGTAAAATAAAAAAAGAAAAAATTATGTGAAAGTGTTAAAAATAAAATAAAAAAGTAAAAACTTTACAAAAAGTGTAGAATATACAAATAATTCAAAGTGCAAAAAATATAAATCTTGACATTCTCTTTTTACAGTTTTTTATTTGTATTTTTCAAACTTTAACAATATTTTTAGTTTTTTTTTCCAAAAAATAGATCCGCTATAACAAATTAAAGACATTTTTGAATTTCTTAATTGATATATTTTAAAAAAACATATTAATATGATATTTCTTAGTATGAGTGCTTAATTAAGTTGTGGATTGCAGTAAAAGGGTTTGTTTGGACGTTTTTCCTCGTAATAATTATAAACGGAGTATATACTCACTCCTGGTGCGTTTTAAAAGTAGGTTGAAAGAAAGTGAAAGTTTTATATATAATCGATATATGTTAAATTTCAATGTTTTTTCATATTGGTTTGCAATGTCAGCTGAGGTTTTCATTGAGTGATATGATGGTCAATTATAAAAAATGATGATTTCTACACAATTACACGTTCTTTAAGGCCCTAGCATCACGGGACAATTAATTGAGATGATGTTATTACTATAATTTAAACTTTAAATATAATTATAATCACCAATAGTTACTAACTAAAATTTTTGTTCATAACTTTTTTATAAGTTCTCCCTCCGTCCCATTTTAGTTAGTCAAACTTAACTTTTCAACTAAATGGCCTCTAACTTTGACCGATTATGAAATGTCCATGTTGTGTTTTTGTGATTTTTAATGCTTAAAATATTTACAGGGCATACGCATTTCAGCCATGGTGTTTGACAATGACGTAGAGATGTATGATATGGCTATGAAGCTCAATTCATCTTACCACATCTCGAACGCTAATGTTCGCGCACCACAGAACTCCTACAAAGTGCCAGATATGAGGTATGGGTTCACATGGGTTCTCAATCGTAGAACAGCTATTCAACCATGTGAAAATGTACATGAAGCTGAAGTTTTTGAGACTAAAAGGGTCTCCAGATTCAGTGACCTATATCAGCACATGAAGACTGGGCGGCACATATGTAAGCAACATTGCCTGTACACACAAATATCACGCACTCACTTTATACAAGCTGAAATATATATTACTGGCTCCGTCCCAAATTGTTCTGCAATGTCAACATTTATTGGTCAACTACAAATAAAAGTCAATGCTCCCTAACAATAATTAATTCAATTTTTAATAATTAAAATTTATATATTCATAAACTACATTAAAATCTCTTCAAAGTTATAAACTTCAAATTATAATATAATTAAAACCTGACATCCTAATTAAAAAAATAAAATGAAATTGTTTGACCAAGAAAAGACAATTTTGCAAATCAATTTGGAATGGAGGTAGTACAACTTACAAGGTTAAAATTCCTTACTTTACGTATTATTAAAAAATTGTATACTGAAGTCTATTTATATCATTGTTAATATTGTAGCAATGGTTGTTGTTGTAATTGATAAACTTCCAAGAGAAACCCAGTCGACTACAAATGGTGTCCGGTCTATCAAGGATTTCATTGTGGTTGATGAACTGTAAGTAGGACCTATGATTAATCTTATTATATTGTTGAAGTTATTTGCAACATCATGCACTCATACAAGTCCATCACAATTCCAACAGGCTGAAACCAGTGCAATTCACACTTTGGGATGAGTTGGCGCTAACTAAGGGAGTTGAAATCTTTGAGGAACTAACTGCAAAAAAGTATCCTATAGTGAGCCTAGAAGACATTAAGGCTACCGACTTCAAAGGTACTATTATAACCCTATAACGTATATTACATATTTACAACAAGTACTAATTTTGCTCTTAATACATAGGGATATCTTTGACTTCAATGTCTCATTCAACAATCACTCTCAATTCCGATTTGCCTCGTGTTGCAGAATTGGAGAAATGGTAATGTCTACCTTCTGTAATTATATGGTAATCATATAAGGTCCTAAGTGTTCTTTAATTTGGTGCTTTTTACTGGTCATCATTATGGATCTCTATGAAAATTGTTCTCGAGATCCTACTCACGTTGAATATACATTAAATACAATATGGATGCTAATTACATTGTTTAATTTGCAGAATCTTCCTCTATTGATTCTTTTTACATACATAAAGCCCACTTCCAAAGTCTTTTCATTCTACATACTCAGAACCATTCTTGGTTCAATGACCTGCCAAACTATGATAATTTATTTACTTATGAATGTATATAATCCTTAGGATAAGAAACTAATAAGCTCATAAATTAGGACAGTGAATAAGTTATAGTCTCATGATTAGTATTCACTAATACCAAAATATTTTTCACTACAAAAATAATAATTTCTTTGACTCAATAAACTAGGTCACACTGTTTTTTTATCCAGTTTTGGTTCTTTCACGGATTTTTAGAACTTAACGTCTTTGTATTGTCAGACAGCCTCAATGAGATATAAACACATTCTGTCTCACATGCAATGAAAGATATGGGAATGTTTGTGTTTGATTGTTATTAGGAAAAGTGATTTAATTGAGAGATTAAACGAAGTGATTAGTAATAAAGTTGGTGATGAGAGAAAATAAAGTGATTTTAGGATAATATTACAAGTTAATGTTTGATGATAAATACATTTTTATATGTAATCCAAAAAGTGAATATGAGATGAAAACTGTTTCAAAAATATAAAAAAATTTAGAAAAAATGTTTTGTTGTTAAATTCTTCGAATAAATTGATGAGCGTGAATATGCACACCATTCTTTCCCCTTTTAACGTTACATGAATTACTTGTATCTACATATATGCTTATATCATGTGAGTGATTACGATCAACCTACGTGTAGGGCTATTGACCACAAATCCACCCTCGATGCTGTGAAGGCTGGCCGCAAGTTCTTGGATGCTGGCTTCCACCTAGCAAATCCTGACAACGAAACAATCACCCCAATAGCTAAAGTCCCTGCTATCATTCCTCAAGTATGTTGCTATTACATACTATATTCCTCCCAATGCCTATATAACATGTTTTTCCTAATAACCATTTACATTGTAAAAAACATTGACGACGTATGCAATAAATCACCAAAGAATTTATGTAACCCATGATATAAATTACTTCAAATCCATTACATTACTATGTCTTATCCATTCTAATTTGTGTAATCCATAAACACTCACAGGGAAGGCCTATTTGGATCAAAGGCACAATCACTTTGGTTTTAGAAAACTATAGCCTCTGGTATGTTGCTTGTAGCCATTGTGCCAAAATAAAACATGCTGGTTGTGACGCAATATTTCACTGCATGAGTTGCGGTCAAGAAAATGCTTATGGCGTTCCAAGGCAAGTACGCCACTTGTATTACACCATACAACATAAGTATACATCATTTTCCTCAAAAAATTCATATTATAACCTTCGCGCAGGGCCAAATTACATGTCATAATTGAAGATGATACAGGATCTGTCAGTGGAATAATGTTTGGCTTGTGCGCTGAAAAGTTATTGCTTATGACAAGCAAGCAAGTCATGGAAATAGAATCACAGGTAACATCATCCACAATACCGCCCAATTAATTTATCGTTTAATGAAACCAAATATATTTGTTTCTTGAATTTGTTTTTTTTTTCATTTGTTTACTATTGCAAAAAACATTAACTACATTGTAAAATTAATTAAAAATGTCACCCAAAGGTTTATTCGCCAACTCTATGCCATAGATTGCTTAACAAATTCATCAACTGAAGCATAATCTCTTATGGAATTTGGGTCCTGTAGAAATATGAATAGTATACACATTGTCATTTGTCAATGTCTAATTTTCTACTACATTTAAATTCTATATGAAACCACTCATTGAAATTCTTTTGTACTTGGTAGGGGAAAAAAGCTTCATTCCCATACATAAACAAGCGCCTTGCTAAGGAAGAGTACATAGTCCAGTTGAGGTCTTCACCAGACAATTGGAGTTCAAAAAACAACTATCCGCGTACTTCAAAGACATCTTATATCATAACATCTTTGCACGAGTCATCGTTGCACATAATAAAGATGGATGAAGCAAATGCTGCCGATCACACTGCACCCTGTGAAAGCACAAGCACTTCAAGTCCTCCAATGAAACGCATCAAAACAGTGTGACGGAGAATACACAACCATCCAAACCATTCCACTACTCACCAAACTGTGTCATTACATTCAAATACTTTCATTTTTTGCAGTACTATGTTCCATTTTTATTTTTGAATGTTATCGCTTCTGCAACCATAAACATATTTTCCCATGATACACTACTAAGCTTGTTTCCATGATACAATATTATGTCTATTTCTTCTCATTTTAATAAATTACACACTAATAATGCAATCATGAAATTTTCATTATACTATTTGGGAGTTCTATTTCAATGTTATTTCAAAAGGGAATGCATGTTATACACACACTGCCACACAAACATGATCATTTTCCCCTAGCATATATCCCAAACACCCCTTCTTACACATTGGCCATTATCCCCATTACAAAAACACATTGGGCACAATCTCCATCGCGCATCGCGCGTTGCGAAAACTAGTGATATGATAAAAAGGGAACATAAATAGTTGGTATACTACCTACAAATAAATAATCAATATTATTACACTCACTCAAGGTACTCATTTTGACAAATTAGTAAGTGTACAATAAACAACTTGAAGTGCTGTTACGCTTCCCCTAGAAAATTCAAAACAGTTGATGGATAAATATTACTCAAATTATAATGTTTTTAATTTAATACTCCGTAATTACTACACCAAAATGAAATAATAATAATAATAATAATAATAATAATAATAATAAACACTAAAATTACTAATTATTACAGCAGTTCACATTTGTATTCCCATTTTATTTGGTTATATAAATATACCAATATCATATTTCTATTAATTTGATTTTGAGGCATGATAATGGATGACATAACCAGATGGCCCGCATATCTATCTTTAAAAAATTATAATTGTGAATGAGAGTTAGGGTATTTTAGGTATAAAAATTATGTTGGTGTAATCAAAGTTAATACCAACTTGTACCTTGTGCTTGGGTCGTTTCTCACTTTTTCCTTTTGACATGTTTTATACCGTATTGATCCTCACGGTTCCGTTTCTGTCATCTTACGGTTTAGACACAAGCTTTTACACCATCAACGGTTATGATGCTAATATCTTCTCAATACATGTTTTATGAAGTATTGAATTGCGACATCCCTAACAATTAAGACCTTCCCGTTCGTGGCTAACAACTGAGGAGCAGTTTTTTACAAACAGGTTCCGAGTGAGTTGTTATGGTGTTTTGTTTTAATAATTACATTTAGGGGTTTTCCAATAAACACTAATAATTGCTATTAAACCTTCACTATTTGCATCTTCTATGAACCGTCAGTGATGGATATTTAAGAGCTATATGAAGTTTAAGCATTTCCTATATTTCGATTTGAAATATGATTCCACGAATTGTACAAAAAGAAATTCCAATTGTTACTTTTCTTTTCTAAAGACATTGACAATACTCAATTTAGATACCTTCATAATTCATATACATAACGATTACAATTTACAATACTCAACCGTATAGAGTGCATGTATAATTGCTCTACGATCTATGGAGTATCATCTTTGTGTCAGTTTTTATTTTAATTTTACAAGGATTTCCATGTTAATTAAAATGCCAAGTTAATTCCCATACATATGCACTAATCTCCATGTATTGATAATTGAGGTTTTCGAGATTTGTGAAAACATTTTCTCACCTTCTATAATTGTCATATATGGCGAAAGCAAGATGATAATCAATTGATCATCAGTAATGCGACTCCCAAACTACTTAATTCATTTCTTTTTGCTTGGATAAAACATAATATTTCTCCACATGTTTATTCTGTTCCATGAAGTTCAATTCCAGACAGATACAGTAGAACAAAATTTGCAAAGGAATCAAATCTAAACTGATTGGGATTACACATGGTTAATGTTGGAAAAATATGTTAAAAATTGCATTAAATGGTCAATTTGGGGCTGTATTTTGAGTGAGATACACTTATGATTTGGGTCGGATCAAAGTGGTTTCGGATTGTACGTGTCCTTGTTAAGGGCTTTAATTCGATATGTGGTACACTCAAAACGGATAACGGGTAAATGAGAAATTGATTCTCGAAGTTCACTCGTTGAAATGGAAAAACTGAGAAACGGATGAGTTTCTAGTGTGATTTATCCCACACCTGAAAATCCAAGTTATTTTCACCCTTTATCAAGGGAACCCTCTTTGAATGAGTTAAGATTCCTGGGTGAAAAATCTCACGTCTTTTTAACAATTCTTATATTGAAAAAAATATGTATAAGTTTTACTTCAATTTCAAACAACTAAATTATACGGAGTAATTACCATTAACATTTCATTACGTTAATCTTACCAAAATAGCATTGGGCATTTTCCTCTCGCGCAACGCGCGTAGTAAAACTAGTACTAATATAAAAAGGGAAATCGAGACTTACGACTGTACAATCAATAAATAACGGTTGTTAAATAACCGCTGCCCATATTGCGATTGCACAATCAAACGTCAAAATTCGGAATACGAAGCATTCAGAATCAGTTTTTTTTAGAAGCGGGGGGGCCAGCTTTTGAAAACTGATTCTGATTCTGCTTCTGCTTTAAAAAAGAAGCAGAATCATTTCCAAACACCCTAAAAGGGTTTTAGCATCCTAAAACTCTAAAAGTGAACTACTCTGTATAATGTTTTTTAGTATACTGAAAGAATTTCATTAGGATCACCTTTACTAAAACAGTATATAAATATTTGAGAAGGATAGAAAATCTTGAATTATGTTAGAAGGCCTAGAGATTATGTACGAAGTGATTAAATTACTTTAATTTTGTAGGGAGTATTACTTTAATTTATCATATGTATGTGTTTTATTCTATTTAGGTGATTCATGCATTACCATATCATTGTTAGTTTTTTTAATAATGTTATCATATCATTGTTAGTTAGTTGTTAAACAAGACAAAATTAAGAGTTGGAATATTACACGAAACATTAAAAAAACAGTCCTAGAATAGTTTATTTTTAGAATATGTATACTTTTGGGGTATTATCATGACTATGTCAAAATTAAATTCAAGTTTTAATTTAAAATTAGCCCATTATATTTATTTTTGAAATACGTCTTTCTTATGCCTGTTAATCTTGAAAAGCAAAAGAGATTGAAAACATAGACAAAAAAACGACAAAATATAGTGTATTTGTGTAGTGAATTTTTCTTAAATTTATCTCAATCTATAATTCAAAATATGAACTGCTTTTATAGTTTGTAGAAATAGTTAATAAGCATGCTCCTGTGAAATTTCTCTGACAAGTGAAAAATTTAAACTGTTACAATAAATGAGAAAGGTGAAAGAGTGGATATTATATTATCATGATATTATTATATACTATGTACTGGCGTATGTATTTCATCTTCCTATAGGGGAAATACATGCATACATACATACATATATACATACATACATATATATACACACACACACGAATTCAATGCAGATAAAATATGAAAAACAAATTGTGTCTTGTGCAATGCACGGGTACAATACTAGTAGACAAAAACACAAAAACGTACACCGTCCAACTCAGCCCATCACTTTATAAGAATTATGAACGGGCAGACCCATATTAAATTGGGTCTATAAGGGTCTGTTTACTAACAGAAATATTTTCCAGTTTTCCAGAAAATTGGAAAATCGGAAAACAGGAAACATGAAACGTGTTTACCAAAGAAAATTGCTGGAAAACTGAAGAAAGGAAAACAGAAAAACACGTTTACCGAATTGTTTTCCAAAACGAAAAAAATGAGACATGTCTCTCTTTTCCTTAATGATTTGGAAAAGTGACTTTTACTAGTTTTCCAAATTTGGAAAACGCAGATGCTACAGTGCCGCTGCAATGAATTTGCATACTTACGCCTAGTGATGGGTCCGGTCCCAATCCGATGTTGATTCCATTCCGTTACCTCCATCCTTGTACCTTACCCCTTACGGCCTTACCCCTACCCTACCCTACCCAACCAACCCCACCCCGCGTACCCTTTTTCCCTACAACGACCCTACCCCATCCCCTACCACATGCCCCTACCTCGGACCCACCCTGATCCACCCTACCCTAACCGCCACCCCTACCACCTCGACCCCACCCTACCCTACCCCCACCCATCGTATATTACCCCTTACCCCTACCCTACCCCTTACCAAATGCCCCTACCTCGGTCCACCCTACCTCTATCCCACCCCCACCCTAACGCCATCCTACCCACACCCACACCCACCCTGACCTCGGCCCCACCCTACTGTCATCCTACCCCAACTCCCTACCCTACCTACCCCTACCTTACCCCAACCCTACCCACTACCCTACCCCTAGCCATGACCCTAACCCACCCACTACCCCTAGACCTTACCACCCCACCCCGACCATACCCCACCCCACCCCACCCCACCCATACCTTCCCTACCCCAACCCCTATGAGTAGGTATGAGTGGGTATGAAGGGTTGTAGGGGAGTATGGGTAGAGTGTAAGATGGTAGGGGTCAAGGGGTGTGGAACTGGGTGTAGGGTGGGGGTACGAGGTATAGGTATGGGGTGGGGGTTAGGGGTACGGGTACACGTACGAGGTGATCGACCCCACATATTATATTATATATTTGTGTTCATTAATGTTTGTGTGTATATATATGTATAAGGTTATTTTGGATATTTTAATGTTAAATGGTGTTTTAAACCTTTTGAAGTAACCATGATTTTAAAACATTGCTTATTTTATGTGCCGCTTATTAACGCGTGTCTTAATAAGCACCATTTAGTAACCTGTGAAATAAACGTGTCCTCAGTCTTCTAGATGATCACAAAACTGGGTGAAAAAATTGATGAACATGTTTTCAGATTTGAAAATGAAAAACTAAAAAATAGAAACAAAAAATTGGATAGAAAAACTGAAAAATAAAAATGGAAATATCTCAACGGGCCCTAATTCTTTTGGTCTGATTAGTGCACCCAAACCTACGTCTCCAAACACCCACATGTAAATCACACTGTCACCGGATCGTCCAACTTGATTGAAAATTTCTAGATCTGTTCAGAGTTAAACACCGAAATCCATTTCTCCTTCATCCGGAACGAACAACTGAAATGATGCCTCTTGAGTCTTGACTCTCTTCCTTCCCTGTTTCTTCGATGTTTCATCCACTACAAAGTTGGTTGTGCCGTTTTTCAGGTTCGATGTTTGTTTCTATTTTTTTCATTTTTTTGTTATTTGTTCTTGTAAATAACATAATTTATTTTCCGTCAGTAATACTTTGAATGAACGGATGTATCAAGGTTAGAAGTCAATGTATCAGGATTGTTTGTCATTTTTTATTAATTGATTTAGTATTTTCATTTATCAATCTTATTTTTTCATTAATTAGCTAAATCTTTTTCTCTGGTTGAAACTATTCTTTTTTCTAGGTTCGTTGATTAACATCTTACTTGATCAACATTTTTTTCGTTGATTAATTAGCTAAATCTTTTTCTCTTATTTGGTTGAAACTATTTGATTATTATTTTGCATCGTCCATTAAGTCTTGGGAAACTATTTTCCTCTACACATTAGGCAATGAGTTTTAAACAGACATTTTAGAAAATGCTTATTTTCTTCAAAAAAAAAAGAAAACGTTTTTTAATTTTTTTATGGATGCATATATCCTGATTTTCTTTAATTTTAGAAAACCGAAATCCAATGGATAACTTCATAGCTCTATCTCTTCTCAAGAAAAAAAACTTCATATATAGATTTATCTAAATGCTTGGCAAATACTTCGTATTCCGTAGTAGACTACATTTGACGGGCTTATTCCAATAAAAGCATTGCATTTGCTGGTTAGCATTTTTTCAAATGTATCTGAAGTACTTTGGTTCTGCAGCTTATATCCAGCCATAGTCTTACGGCTTATCTCTCTCGTTTTAAAACTCTCGACAAATGGTTATATAATTACTTTTAGTCAAATTAAGTCATATTTACTGCTGGTTATAATTAGTTTATGTCTTACGTTGCGGTTTTTATTAGTTTTATACGGAGTAGTTATTTTTATCGCAATTTGTATATTTATATAGCGATTAATTATGTCTTCTCTTGGTTATCGGTATTGCAGGAAGGTTGCTCCTTCATATTCTTTTAGTTTTTAGTAAAATGTAAAAGCAGTGGATTTTTGGGACCAATAGGAGGGGTGGTTTATCTATGGAGTAATTTTTAAGGGTGATTGACATTTTAGTTCATAGTTGTTTGGCGAGGCCCCCTGCATAGAAGACATCAGGTATTCTCTTCTATATTTATTATTATTGTTCTTATTATTTATCCTATTTTTTATTATTATTTTAATTACTTTACATTCTCACACCTTTTTAGTTATCATAATTGATCATGATGCTCTTTTTTGTTTGACGTAGTGTTCTGAAGTTTTAATATCAAATCAATTGTATTTTGGCGTGAATTTTACAGCCTTACTTAATATGGAGTTTTCCCTTAGACATAATGGTCGTTCAACTCGTTTATCACTTCACAATGAGTGATATGATGAATCATGAGTCCTGCCACCATTTATTGCAAACAAAATTTGGATTTATTTTAATTCCTCTGAATTAGTAGTCATAGTGTAGCATAAGCACTCTTAATATACCTCGAGAATTCCCATGTGTTCCACACGTTTGTATTGCAGAATGCTGGTAAGCTCCAATGACCCAGTTTCAGTTTGATCTCTTATTGTCATAGATTTTGGCAAACGGGTGGAGAATGTAGATGTTAGACCTACACAAAATGAAAATAAACTGAACCATAACAATAACAATGAGATTATATGCCATGTTAAAATAATTTTAGTAAGAACTAAAAGAGAAATATACAGTCAGGTGTTGAGAGAATAAAAATTATCTGATGTGAATCTGTGGAATGAATGTACGAAATGATACTTACTTGTTACTCCGTATATGTTATATGTAGTATATGTGTGCAGGTTATTGGACGGTTGATTTAGACGGTTTCAATGGAAGTTTGTGGGTGGGAAGTGGGACACGTAATATTTAGTGAATGTATGAAATTATGCAAACAAATTTCCATCTCATTCATGAATTTCCATCTCCTTTTTATACTCTCTCCGTTCTTTTTTATTAGTCTTTCTTTCCTTTTTGGGACGTTTTTTTTTATTTGTCCTCCTTTCCCTCTAAGGAAAGTTTTGATAAAATACCTCCACTTTTATTACTTTTATCCAATTTACTTTTTACAAACTACTTTCTCTTTCCTACTTTATCATCACTTTACTCTTCTTAATAGACTCTCTTTCCTACTTTATCATTTATCCTACACACTCTATACTTACCCTACTACTTTATTATTAAAACCCGTGCCAAACCCTAAGAGGACTAATAAAAAAGAACAGAGAGTATATACGGAGTATAAAGATACAGGTAAATGCTAGCCAAAGCAACAGCAACTTTGATGTTGCCAGGGTTCACCGTTAAAACAAACAGAGGGGGCTAACTGCTCTCCTTTCATAGATTTTAAAGCATTTTGCCCAAAAATAAAGTTTAGGGCATAGATGCCGCTAATAACTTCAAGGGAGTTTTGCCCCTTTTCCCCTTTTTTTCATTGACGGATAATTTACAGTGACTCTGCCATGTACTCCGCTGCTAACCCGCTCGGCAGCTGCATTTTCTCCGGCGCCACCGTCGACAGTAATAAGCGACTATCCGGCAGCGGCCGCACTTCCTTCAGATCTTCAACAAAGTCCCGGACCCGTCATCGCTTTCCTCGAATGACCGTCGAACGGCAAAACTCCAATACTACTAGCCTTATCTCCGGCATCACCAAGTTCCTATGGGGCAACTCCCTGCCGCCCCAGCTCCTTATCTCCACCGTGCGTTCCACGTGGTCTACCTCTTGGCACATCATGATGTCCCAGCTCGCACCGTCGGATCAAACCGGCGATTACACCCGACCCGCCTCCCAATTCCGCATCCACATTCAAAATTCACCGAGCGGAAACATGCACCTTTATGTCGGCCTATCTTGTCCTTGGGCCCACAGAACCCTAATTGTCCGAGCTTTGAAGGGTCTGGAAGATGCTATTCCCGTCTCAATCGCGGGCCCCGGCGCCGACGGCTCCTGGTTGTTCCGGGGTGGTCCGGATTCTGGTAGGGATAAGCTTGTCCCGACTTTAGACAAATCTAATGGCCTTAGAACCCTCAAGGAGGTTTATAGGTCCGGTGGCGCCTATAATTGCCGCTCAACCGTTCCTATGCTATGGGATTCAGACAAAAAGCAGGTTATTTGCAACGAGAGCTATGATATTATAGAGTTCTTCAATTCTGGGTTAAATGGGATTGCCAGTAATCCAGAATTAGACCTTTGTCCACCATTATTGAGTGATCAGATCAGCCAATGGAACCAGATCATATACCCCAATGTCAACAATGGGGTTTATAGGTTAGTAATTTAGTATTTTAAGCAAGCTTTTTTCAAATTGCTTGTGTGTGGTTTGATTCAAAGCATTCCAAAACTTTTAAAACTTAACAACATGTATATAAGAACTTGAACATCCAACTCAGAACAAAAAAATCTATGCAATGTGAAGCTTTTATGCTCAAATTGCTTTCTTGTGTGATGTCATAGTAAGCATTTTAAATTTAAGCTGTAAAGCCAGTAGCATGCTAGAGTGTCATTTAAGAGTTGTACTTTGAGTCTGAACAACAAAAACCTAAACCACAGGGGCATACATTTTGATTTGGTATTTTGGTTGGACCTAAAAAAACTAACTAAACTAATCCAAATATAAAAGAACCGCATGCAATTCAGATTTATTTTGGAAATACTATTTCCAAACCATATTAGATTATGGTCCAAACCGAAACTGAATAAAACCACTGATAGAAACAAATACAATAAATCCTTGATATATTTTTAAAGAATAACAAAATCAAACTGAACTGAACCATACCAAAATGTTTTATTTTTTATTTTGGTGTCATATAAAAACTAAACTAAAAGAACTAAGCCAAATCATAAATGCCCACCCTTTACTTAGTCAATTTGTTCCAGAAGTCTATCTCAGATGAAACATGGGTAACTTTCAGATGTGGATATAACTATAACACATTTTACAAGATCCCTTGTTTGGGGGTTTCTTCTATGGCCTATGGGTTTGATGAAGTAGTATTGCTTGTTTTAGGTGTGGATTTGCGCAAAGTCAGGAATCTTATAATAAAGCTGTTTCAGAGCTGTTTGTTACATTAGACAAGATTGATGGTCATTTGGAGAGTTCAAGGTATCTGTGTGGTGATGTGTTGACACTTGCAGATGTGTGCTTGTTCACAACCTTGATTAGGTTCGATCTTGTGTACAATGTGTTGTTCAAGTGTTCCAAAAAGAAGATTATAGAGTATCACAATCTGCATGGATACGTGCGAGACATATATCAGGTAAACCTTAGTTAATTCGTATACTACGGAGTAGATTATTAAGAAATTACCGCAAATAGAAGTAAAATATGAGTAATCTTTGTTTAGTGTCAAAAATAGGATTCATTTTGTCTTAACAAGAGAAAAAACTATTTCGTCATTTATGAATGAATAAATTCTACGGAGTATTTTTATGAAAAATAGATATGAAACTAAATGGTTACTGATCCAATATGGTCACATTGCATTAAGGATGTCACATTTTCCCCATGACTTTTGTTCTACTATTCTAGTACTACCTCCGCCCCATAATGGTTGTCTTGTTTTAGTTTGGCACAATTATTAATAAAGTGGTTGAAAAGTAAAAGTTGTGGTTGTGATTTGAGTAGAATAAAGTGAAATAATATGGACCACAAATTTCTTGCCAAAAAAGGAAACATGAGATTTATTTGGGGACAACCCAAAAAGGAAAGTAAGAAAACTAAAATGGGACGGTGGGAGTAATACATTTATCATTATTTTTAAGTTTTATTCCTATTTAGGGATTTTTTGTGTGATTAGAGTTTCTTTATCTGTCTGCAGATTCCTAAGCTTGCAGAGACTTGCAATATGGAAGCTATAATGGATGGTTACTACAAGACTCTGTTTCCCCTTAACCCCAGCAGCATTCGGCCTGTAATGCCATCAGATTTCCAGGATGGTACTTTGTTGAAACCACATAATAGGAACAACTTGTCAATGACGACACGGAAGCTTTACAGCTCCGTCTCCTGAAACCAGAAATATAATGGAGCGCATCATGTTCTACTGTAAGCTTTAAAATTTAAATGCTTGTACATTTCTTATTTTTATAAAGTATCAGGCAAAGTAATGCTAGATGGTTGCCATGGATTACCTTAGAATTTAGAAATCATCCTTGTGAATACATTTCTTATTTTTATAAAGTATCAGGCAAAGTATCCTTGTGAATAAAGTATTAGAAAATTATTACACACCTCATAATGATGTATATTATTCATGTAAAGGTATAGATGTTATTTCATATGCATGGTGTAACCCTGAAAGGTCTTTGAGCATTTTTTACAACACGCAAAGCCCAATGCAAAAGAACTCGATGAGTGTGGTCCATATTCACTAGGTCCATATAAAACTTTCCCAATTGGCCTTTGCAATGAATGAAATGCTGAATTTCCAATTTCTATAAAACGTGGAATCTTTGTTCATAGGTTTTCAAAACCAATTATGATTCTCACACCCCATTACCCAAGAAATCCCAAGGATTACACATTAATCCACACGTGTATTTATCCTTAAAGTTTGACGTGTAAAACCTAGGCTTGTATAAATACTTCATTTGTTCCAGTAGATGATCTTCTCTTTTGTGCACATTGTGTTGTTCGGACTTTGGGTTGAATGTGTTGGATCCATAGGATTAGTTAGTGCTATATTTGAGAGTAGTTTTGTGGCCCCCGTTGTTTTTTGCTATAATAGTGCTTTATAAGAGCTTTTCACTCAATCTTCCTCCATATTTTTTTTATATCTTGGTCTGCTTATGTCCACATTGAATCACCATTGAGTTGTATAGCATAGTTGTCTTTTTCGTAATCTTGGTTTTTGTGTGCTTAAAGGACAAACAAATGTCAAGAGTGTTGGTATTGGCAAGTCTTTAATTTGTTTTTACATAATTGTCATTTTATTAGATGAAAAGGAGTTTGCAGGGCTTTTAAATTTGAAGAAAACAAATGTGATGTTGGTTAGATTTAAGTTTACCATGTTGAAGTAAGTTCCCTCGGCTCCAAAACCCACCCCACCCCACCCCACCCCCCCCTCCACCTTGCAGTGAAGCTCAGGAAGAGAGATGATTTTAAAAAAAGTCTACAATTCGGCACGGGACAGGCCCCAGATCAGTATCATACAAAAACCACCACCAAAAATAGTCCAATCTAAACTGTCCGCCATCTACCGTGGACTCTGAACCGGTGAAGGCCCATGTCCAACCCAACGGCCCAGCAGCTCCCCATGATTACCCAAAAGAAACATTAGCAAAATAGGCACCCCAGGTCCAAGCTAAACCTGGGCCCAACTCCAGCTCACGCATGCAGTGAGCATCAAAGTTCCGCCAGTCCATATACAGTGACCAAAATAGTTATAAACTCCAAATTTATTTCACTTTTTTCTCTACCCCAATCCACTTTCCTAGTTCCTACCACCGAAAAAAGTCGTTGCCAATTGGAGCCGCTAGTGATCGATATTAACGTGTGGGCCGTGTGGCCTGTCACTGGGTGTCACTTACGCCAACATACTAGAAGTAAAGTATAGGGTAATTCTATTCACAGCCCTCTTTTTACTAAACACAGATACATGTTTTTCATTATTCCTATTATGTCATTATCAATACCAAACTTAATACACTCCGGTAGGCAAATCACATCTATTTTCCGCTAAGGAAGAAGACAAAGAATTGAGGAAAAAGACACCGGAAGTTCTGAAACAGAACATTAGAATAGTCGGCTACTCGAAGTCTAAGAAGAGTCGCTAGCTCAGCAGTCAGCATCTATCCCTTGCGATCTCCGCCCTTGATTCTGCAGTTTTGGTTCTCGAATCCAGTCGCTTGACTAGATGGAGTTGCCTTCTCCCTTTGCAAGTTACTCACTCTCACTCGTATATCAGTCACTGAAGAAGGAAGAAATTGGTTGCAAGATTGAACTTAAGCAATTTGGGAATCACGGGTATTGCTAGCGCCTAGCGGAGTTCGGAAGACGGTAATTCGGAGATATTTATTTCATTATTATTATTTTTTTTTTTTTGCTTTCTGATGAAAATAAGCCATTGAATTCCTGACTGATGTCTTGGGGAAGCTGTGGGAATAAAGAAGCCAAAAACGGAAAACAAAAGTAAAATTTTGAGAAGTAGTAGAATTCATGGGTGGTTGCAAGAGCTAAAAGGTTGAGGTTAGATGGTGGGTTGCACACATGACTACATGAGGCTGTATTAAGTTATTATTATTAAGGATATAATTGGAACTATAGAAAATATGTGGCTGTATTTAGTAAAACAAGTGCTGTGAATAGAATTACCCTAAAGTATATACTCTCTTTTAGATCTTTTTAAAAAGCTAGTAATAGCTTTGCTCAATTGCTTTGAATTATAGTACTCGTAGTATTTATGTACAAAGTTAAACCCCATCATTACTAGCCCTTATCGACATTGTCTTTATCGCACGGCTGGTGAATTTCTAACCAATTATTTCTTCCTTCATAATTTTTTCAACACCATAAGTATTAAACATACTTATTAAACAATTTGAGCTTATATCCAAGACAAACCGTAAACCATACTTATTAAACATATAAATATAATAACTGAACCAAAATAATTTTGCAAAGATCAACACACATATGTTAAAAACTGAATTCAATGCAACGCTAGACGTTATTGAAAACTTCTTTATAAATCACATTTTGAGTGGCATCAGTCTTCGTGTCGCACTCAAGGCATATAAGTATTTTCAATGCAACGCTAAATGTTATTGAAAACTTCTTTATAAACCCCCAAAAATAATACTTTGAGAAAAAGTCACAAACATAAAGCAAATAATAATAAAAAATCTATAAATCAGTACATTGAAAAGAATTAAAAGTGTAATACTTTGCATGAATATAAGCAGTGCTAGGTCCGAAACGAACGTCACGACCAGAAAACGTCATACGTGTCATGCATTAACATTAAGTTTTTTTCAATTCTTTTAACGGAGTTTGAATTAATTTGGAACACGCGACATTAAATGCTAGTATAACACAAAAGGAGTTCTGTGGAAAAATGAAAACACGACCAAAAATCAGTCCTTAAATAAAAACATAAGTGTCTTACTCTATAACCTAAACCGAAGCAACGGATACCTACTATAAAACACAATAATAACATGTTATAAGCGAACGATATATTAATTATTGAATATACAAAGATATTCATTGCCAGCACAAAAAATGAAAAAAAAAATGGATAAATATTTTAAAGGCTAAAAAAATTAATGCATATGAAATAAATTTTGGAAAAAATCAAACACTTAATTTCGGTTCAAATCCAAAAGAACGAAGGCCAGTTTATTTCCGCAGCAAAACCCATAAAAACAAAACACCAGCGTCCCAAACAACCCAAAAATCAAAGCCCAATAACCCAACCCTTATCCTCGTTGAACAGGTCAACCCCCACCCCAAACCCTCCTGAAAAGATCGGAAAAGATCCGACACTTAGAGCTACTCCATCTCTAACAAACACAGCAGATCGGAAAAGATACCCACCGCCCCATCGCACATTATCGTCAGAACTCGTAAATAACACCCTAGCTTGAAGAAAAAACATTGGATCCTCAACCTCCGAACCTAACTCCACAGCATAGACCGCTTCTCCTCCATACAGAGACGGCACTCCCCCAGGTTTGAGATAATATAATAACTAATGACCAAGCTGTCTAAATTTATTTGAATTGAAACTTACTCCGTATTTTAACTTAATACTAGTAAGTAATAACCTCATATAGTCTCGTCAGGCTTCAAGTTATAAACGGTTTGATATTGCTCATTCTGATCTTGTTTCTTTAAGTATGTTTATTGTTATCTATATACTCCGTATATCGGATTTGACTTGTTTTGATCTGTTTTGGCATTGTATGTTTAGCTATGGTCTCCAGGGATGGATTTAGGGGGGGCGACCGCCCCCTTTGGAATTTCAAAATTTTCTACCATATATGTAATATTTTCATAAAACTTTCATAATTTAATTAGATTCACCCCCCTTAGCTTTTAATTTTCAAAATTAATATATAGTGTTACATAATGTAATACTTAATTGAAGATTTAAAAGAAGGAACATCTTAAATAATTACATAACTTAAACAAATAAACAATAGAATAACTCGTGTTTAAGATTTAGGATACTTATTATATAAGAATTCCTAGTTTTGTAATGTTTAATTATCTTTATTAGATAACAAGTACTTGATTTTGTAAAATATATATCAAACAATATTAAATATCAGACACACTAATTACACAGTTTTAGATCACGTGAAATGAATCCAAAATATAAATGTTTATTGACATTAAATTACATAATTCATTTACTTCTTGCTTTCTAAAAATAATTTATTGCATAGATAATAAACTTTAAATTATTATAGCATTAATACAAATATTAAAATATAATATGCACCATATATGTGTGTGTATGTGGTGCATATTATTCTAAAAATAATAATATTATACATACTACTATTGTAATATTAAGAAAACTTCTTATGAGTCATGACTCACGAACACCATCCTTGATGGCCGGACAAAAATTACAATTCAATAATAACCGATTCATGAGGTTAAACAATGTAGTAGTTATTAAAAATGTATTGGTTGATGTCTTTGTCATCGTCTAATTTAAACTTAGAATGTACTACTTAATAGATTTAAATGTCGTTGGGGATATGTATGTATTAATGTCATTTTTTGAATAAAATTAGCCGCATAGCCCTACAGTAGCGGAAAAAATTCGCCCCGCTACACTAGGGAAAAAAATTCGCCCCACTATATTAACGAATTTTTTTTCACCTCCTACACTACCGAAAAATTTCGCCCCCTTGAATAGAAATCCTGGATCCGTCCCTGATGGTCTCAACTCTCAATGATAAAAACCAAGTTCTGTGAGAAACAAAACGACCTTGGCGGAACACAAGAGGTTCCCCCACATAATAATAGTATAATACGGAGTAAAAGAAATATACTCCCTCTATATCTCCTATAACTTAATCATTTTTCTTTCTTTCGTTATTCCAAAAACTTTTCAAACCTCAATCAAATAATTTTTACTTTATTATTCTCTAAAGAGACATTGATCTTGAAAAATAAATAGAAAGTTTTCCCCACATAATAAAAGAAACATATTGCTCTTGAAACTCTATATATGACTAAACATGTGCATTGTTCCCAAACGAATGAACAACGGTGGACTTTTCAATCCAAGTTTAGATCACAGCTGAACAGACCAGATCAGACATAAACAAACCAGACCTGAATTCGATGATT